GTGTTGGGTGGGCAGTGAAGGTTGCTGATGGAGTTGAGGTTGCCAGTCAGCTGCCTGGGGAGAACCGGCCAGGGAAGGGTAGCAGGGAAGGCACCATGAGGACTCAGCCTGGTGAAGCTGCCTTAGAAAACGAGGAAATGGAGCTCTGAGCCACGGATGTGGGCAGCTCGAGCAGCTGGAAAAGGCAAGGAGGAGACAGGTTTTCCCCAAGAGCCTCCCGAAGGAACACAGCCCTGTCATCACAGTGATGTTAACCCCGTGAGAATATTTGGACTTCTGAGCTCCAGAATCATAAAAGAATCAATGTGGTTTTTGCTTTGTTTTGTTCTGTTTTTGAGACGGAGTCTTGCTTTGTAGCCTAGGCTGGAGTGCCGTGGTAAGAGGCCATAAGAGAGTAAGAGTGGTAAGAGATCATATTTGAAGGGTTTTTTTTTTTTTTTTTGAGATGGAGTCTCACCCAGCGGCCCAGCTGGAGTGCAGCATCATGATCTCAGCTCACAGCAACCTCCCCCTCCCGGGTTCAAGAGATTTTCCCACCAACAGCCTCCTAAATAGCTGGGACTACAGGCACGTGCCACCACACCCAGTTAACTTTTTGTGTTTTAGTAGAGGTAGGGTTTCAGTGTTAGCCAGGATGGTCTCGATCCCCTGACCTCATGATCCACTCGCCTCTGCCTCCCAAAGTGCTAGGATTACAGACATGAGCCACTGTACCCAGCCTATGTTATTTTAAGCCACTATATTTTTGGTAATTTCTTACAATAGCAATTAAAAGCTAACGCTATCTGTTTTAAAGTGGTCATTGCTTTAGGAAGAAAAAGTTCAGGTTAAGAAGGTTCAGGATTGCCTTTTCCCAGGCCGTAATAAATCTGATTCTCGATATGGAGGCCAAGGGCCAGGCCATCATGATGTTCCAGGATAGTGCTGTGGCCAGGGCTGACTTCCAGGAGCTTGTTGCTAAATTGCAGGCCACGGTCCAGTAAAATGCTCAGAGAGAGGGCAGCTGCGAAAGGAGCTGGAGGACTGACCGCATGCTCAACGCTGTGCCCTGTACCACCCCCTCTCTGAGGTCCAGACCAATGTAGACACCAAAGTGAAGAGGCCAAACAAGCCCCAGGAGGCCCCAGGGACCAATGGCAGCCTCGTGGTGGCAGCGGCAGGGGCTGGAGCAAGGCTTGAACTAGAGAGCCTGCAGGCGAGGCTGGGCCAACTGCAGAGAAACCTCTGGGTGCTGCATGTGGCCTCAGCCTGCAGGGAGGAGGAATTGCAAAACACCCCTCAGAGATATGAGGGCTACCCTGACCTGGCACGTGGATGAGATGAAGCAGCTGTACTCCACATTGGACGAGACCTTCTATCAGATTAGCAAAGTGGAGCCGGAGATGGAGGTGAACCACAGGGTGCTCCGTGAGCTGTGCATGGTCCTGATGAAGTCTGTGATTATGGAGGCAAACAAGGTGACAATGAGGTAGCAGCTCCTGGAGCTCAGCCTCACCCTGCAGCACCTGCGGGTGACCACACTGACCTCATCGAGTATGTCAAGGAGTGCAACTGCCAGAAGCTCTACTTTGACTTGGAGGTCATCCCAGAGAGTCACAGGGACACCACGCACCCTGGAGGAGACCCAGGGGAGCCTGGAACCCGGTGCCAGCTGTGCAGCTCCTTGGCTGCCCTGCTGGAGGCCTGCTGGCCTCCCTCTCTGGGGAGGAGGTGATGAAGGAGAGGTTGGAGGAGGTGCACGACCAGCTGCTCCTGCCTGTGAGCAGATCTGCCTGGCCCTGCGGGAGCAGGTGCTCCACTGTGATATGCTGGCCACCCAGGTGGCAGCCTTGGAGCAGGCCATAGGCGTATGGTGACATGGAGCCCCCATGGCAGGCAGAGCACCTGGAGCCAGTGACCACTCAAGCCCAGAAGAGGCCATGTGAAGCCCTGGCCGAGCTGGCCTAGGAGCTCCAGTTCCTGAGATCTGCCTTGGGCGGTGCTGCACGGCTGCCCAGCCACCTCCCTCAAGCCCTCCCTTGCCTTCCTTGGGGCCTCCACAGTCCACCACCAAGTGCAGCTTGGCAGCACCAGCTTGGAACTTCCAAAGGCTAGTGGCAGCAACATCAGCCTAAATCTGGGAAAGCTGCAAGCCATGCCCAGCAGGAAAGGGAAGCAGCAGCAGAAAGGCCCAGAAGTTCCCTGGAAGAGAGACTGGAAGGAAGCCGAGCCTCTGGCAGACACACACATCAAAGGGTCAGTGCCAGGTGCCTTGAACACAGAGCTCTGGCAGGCAGACTCCCCTGTGGCCTTCTATGCCAGCTCTTCAGAAGGGATGGGTGCCCTGCAGACATTGCAGTTGAACACTACCTACATCAATGCTGGCAACAGCTACTTCCCTGAACATGGCTACTACCAAGCCAGAGTTTGGTGTCTCATTTACTGTGAGCATTGAATTTGGCCCAGGGCCAGCACCGGGCACCTGGTGTTTGGAGAGCATCGTCAGAGGCCCTAGTCTGTTCCACTGGGCAGGAGGCTGGAGGCACAGCAACCACCTTTGCTGTGGCTGAGCTGTGGAAGGGTGAGAGAGCGTGGTTGGTGTTAACCCAAGGATTGGTAACAAACAGAAACCAGCCAGGTACTGCATTCGGGGACTACCTGATGTTCAAGACCTGAACCCTGGACCCAGCTCTGATCAGACATCATGGACTTGCCCAGCTTTCCTTGGTGTAGGGCTCTGGCCAAGGATGGTCTGCAGATCATCCAGTTGGTCTCTCTCTGCTGGAAAGCTTCTGTGAGACAATGTGGTATATGTGGTCTCCCTCTAGCCACACTGGATTTGGCCATTTCTCAATGATGTGGAGGACTGGAATGCCTCTCTGGGTGAAATCTGGTTCTGAGTTTGGTAAGTCTTCTCAGACAGCACTGCCTGGACTCCAGCCCTTTGCCATCCATGTATTCTATAGTTGCTTTGGTGGTGTGTGCCTCCTGCAGATGGAAGCTTCTGTACCACACTTTAACCCTTTCTCCTGCTTCCTCTTCTCTTCTCCTTAATTGTTGGCTTCAAAGTCATTCTTTCCCAGAGGGAGTGTTTAAGATGGAGGTTATTTAGCCAGTATTGGAAAGCGGTCTCCAACCATTAGAGAACAGTGGAATAAAGCCAACCTGTTTGGTCTCTGTCAGTCAGAAATGGAAAAGACAGCCTGGTCGAGTCAACCAAGGGAAAGAAAATTAGTATCTTTCATTTCAGTTATTCCTTGTATTTATCTGCAATTTTAATTTCACATCTCTCTCTCCTTGCCACACACAGAGTAAAGGCCAAAACATGCCAAATACGAGCTAAAATGTGTATGGCCTTCACCATTTGTACTTCCTCCAGTATTTTTGGGCCATCTGAATTCTTCTTAGCACCTCTAACCAGGAGGCAGCTGGGGAAGGAGTGAAGGAGAACTGTAAAAATACTCCTGAGTAATGATCAACCTTGGGGTAAAGCGATCCCCATAGATAGAAAGATAGATAGAGATATATATGTGGTTAAGATGGAAAGTTTATGTTACATCAATTATATCAAAATTTAAAATTAAACAAAGAAAATAATAAACAGATTCCAAAGTGGGAGGGTGGTGGCAGCAAGTGTGGAAGGGTGTGTCACTTAGGAACCAGGGCGGGAATGAGCTGGGTAGACCTCTGAGGGAAGAACAGTCCGGGCTCGGGGGAGGGTAATGCAAAGGCCCTGAGGCAGAAGAACATCTCCAGTCCCTGAGAACCAACAAAGAGGCCAGGGGTAAGAAATGAACAAGCAAGGACAGAGTCAAGGACAGCTGTGCAGGGCTCCCTAGGCCTCAGTGGTGGCTTTGGTTTCACCAAGAGAAAAGGGGAGTCTTTGGAAGGTGACATGGTTTGGCTGTGTCCCCACTCAAATCTCATCTTGAATTGTAGCTCCCATGATTCTCACATGTTGTGGGAGGAGACCAGTTGGAGATAATTGAATCATGTGGGCAGTTTTCCTCATACTGTTTTCCTGGTAGTGAATCAGTCTCACGAGATCTGATGGTTGTATAAGGGGAAATCCCCGTCACTTGATTTTCATTCTGTCTTGCCTGCTGCCATGTAGGATGTGTCTTTCATCTTCCACGATGATTGTGAGGCCTCCCCAGTCATGTAGAACTGTGAGTCCATTCAACCTCGTTTTCTTTATAAAGTATCCAGTCTCGGGTATGTCTTTATCAGCAGAGAGAAAACTAACTAATACAGTATATTGGTACTGGGACTGGGGCGCTGCTGTAAAGATACCCGAAAATGTGGAATTGACTTTGGAACTGGGTAAGAGGCAGAGGCTGGAACAGTTTGGAGGGCTCAGAGGAAGACAGAAAAAGTGGGAAAGTTTGGAACTCCATGGACACTTGTAGATTTGCCGGTGGAGAGTGTGTGTGATTGTGTGTGAGCGTTTGAATGAGTCTGAATGTGACCCCCTTGTGGGGGATCCTCCTGGGGGTACAGGTGTGCCTCTGCTCTCCCATCCTCCTCTCCCTTCTCCCTCCTGACTCCTCTTCCTCACTGCGCTTGCTTCTCCTCCCCTCACTGTGGATTTCTCACCAGCCTCCAATCTGTGGCCATCACTGTTTCCACCTTTTTCCTTAGCGTTCCCTCCTGCTAGGACCACTTTTCCTTTTCTTTCCTCTTTCTTGGTCTGTATCTGGAAATCAATCAAAACCACCTCCAATGCCAGCCCTGACACCCTTCCCTCCCCCACCCTGGGGCATCACCTCCTCTTCCAACACAGCAGGAGAATGGGCTGTGCTGTCACCTTGCTCCCCTCAGCAGCTGTGTGAGCTCCCTGAGGACAGGGAGCACCCCCTCTTCCTTCCTGACGCAGGACCTGTCACAGTGCCTGCCCAACAGCAGAGGGGGACACAATCTCTGCCTTGCAGGATGACCTGGGGTGGCGGGATGACCTGAGGAGGGGTCCCCTAAGATTTGGGGCCTGGACAAGGGCTGTCACTCTTGTGTTTCCATTTCAGCACCACCCATCATGGCCCCAGGCACTGCCCAACCCAAAGCCACGGCCACCACCCTCAGTCCCTGGAGCCTCCTCATCATCCTCCTCTGCTTCATTCTACCTGGCATCTGAGGAGAGTCCACTGTAGAGGAAGGGGGAACTGGAACAGGCTTCCTGAAGGACAGGGTGTCAGGGCTCATCAAGAGTCAAAAATATCCAAGTCTGAAGTCAGAATATGTATTCGTATGCATTTGAAATGGCATAAAGGCTCCCTGGAAAGGTGAGAAGAATCCAGTAAAGCTTTGTCCCGGGGCGTGTGGCCAATCAGAGTGGACGCAGGCAGGAGCAGGGGAGCCTTTCACACACGACTTTTCATGGTTTCGATCCTAAAACAGGTGACTATATGGAGGCGAAGTAGTAAGGAACAGTGGGGCCCGGGTCCCTGGGGATGGTCACCGGGTAGGATGTCTGATCTGTTGTGGGCCGCCAGGATCCGGGGACGCGGAACACAGGCAGCGTGCGCAGGGCTGCTGCAGTGACGAGGCACTGGTTCTAGATATTTACCTAACGGTGTTGTCTTAGAGGGGATATTACAGGTGGTTGCTGATTTCAACCGCAGTTGACTTTCGGGGAAAGTTCGCACCTGGGGGTTTCAGTTTCCACCCAGCCGCGTCTCTCCCGGCTCTGCGCGCTCCTCCAGGGCGCCCGCTGCACTCGAGCTCCCGACCCAGGTTCTGCCCGGTGAAGACCCCGGAGGAGTGCCCCGCTGCCAGCAGATGCCCCTGCGCCTTCGAGCAAAACGGCCTTTGGAAGACCTGAAAGGACTCGGCGGTCGTGGCAGAGGAAACATGGTTCCCGTATCAAGAAGATCTATGAAATACGGGGCCTGGTGTGGTGAGGGGCACGAGGTTCCTCCTTCATCCTCGCGGGGACTTTGCCTCCGGCTCAGTGTGGAGACGTCACCGTCCCGCTCGGATCCGTGCGGCTCCGACAGTGTGGCCCCCAGAGGACCCCCCATCCTCCTTGCCCTGGGGCTGCTGCGGGAGGGCGCCCGGGACGCACTAGGTCCTGAGTTTCCAGGGTCCCGCAGGGGCTTCCCGGTGTCGCCTCCCCAACCCCAACGCTCGCGGTCCAGGGCTCCTGGTTTCTCCGCTGGGCTGGGGGCCAGGAGCATGGACGTCGTGAGGACGAGAAAACCTTAGGATGGTTGGAAAAGAAGGATCGGAGTGAGGGCGAAAGAAAGGGAGAGGAAAGAAGCAGGTAGGGCCAGAGAACAATGAGAAACCCCTGCCACGAAAATGAGGAGAGAGTGACAGGCGCACAGCCCCCACACTCCACCGACTCTGTCTCCTGCTCTCAGTCTTGTGAGGAACGCGGGCCCCATCCCCTCCACCCTCTCTATGTTTGGGGTCAGCCATCCCAGCGGGGTGAGGCATCTCCTTGCAGGTGCGATTGGCACTTCCCTGAGGGCTGTGGACACTGAGCACCTTCTCCTGGGCTCACTGCAGTTTGCATTCCTCTTCTGATGCCAGTGGGCAAGGGGAGGTCCCCAAACGCTGGTGAGACCCTGACCCCAGCCGGTGTTGGGTCCTTGACACCGCCCGGGGAAATGAATTCAAGGACCAGCAGGAAAATAGAGAAAGGAGGGAGATTTATTGCAAAAGGAAAAGTGCACACTGAAGTAAAGGGAGTGCAGGGGAGCTCTAGAGAGAGGCAGGTGGACGGGGGCTTGGAGCTGCCGACTTTCTGGGTTTCTTCAGCCAAGAGTTGAAATAGTCATGAAAATTCCTGGAAGAAGGTGGAGATTTCTCAAAACTGTGATGCCCCCTATTTTTACACCAAATATGGGTGTTCTCAGAATTTGCAAGAACTCTGTTGGATGTGTGTTTCGTATGTTAATAAGCGTATAATGAGGTCCTAGAGGAAACCAAGGTCAAATCCCGGACCTTGTTGGGTCCGCTCATTGTTAGCCAGCTTGGTCCACACTCTGTCTTTTAGGGTCTTATCAGGCTGGAGCCTCTGCAGATATTTCAACAGATTCCTTTTGCTGCTCACCTGAAACTGCTGCCCAAAATTTTCTCTTCTTTTACTACCACCCTTTATTATACATGTCACACTTTGGAGAAATATCTATTCAAATTCTTTGCATATATTTAAATTGGGTTATTTTGCTGTCTAATGTTGAGTTGCAAGTGCTCTTTATATATTCAGATACCAATCCCTTACCAGATATATGATTTTCAAACATTTTCTCCATTTTAAAAGTGTTTTTACCTTCTAAATGGAGTCCTTTTTGAAATACAGATATTTTACATTTGCATGAAATGAAATTAAACTATTTATTGTTTTGCCATTTGGCTATTTACATACAGTACTTAAGAAGCCTTTGCCAAATCCAGGATCACAAAAATTTACTGCTCTATTTTCTTCTGAAACTTACAGTCTCATGTGTTAGGTGGACACCTGCCATTCATCTAGAGCTCGTTTCTGTGTGTGCTGGAAGGAAGGGCCCCCCTCATTCTTCTGCATGCAGCATCCAGTGGTCCCAGCACCATTCACTGTAGTGTAGGATCACCTGCCCCTCATCCTGTCCCTCCCTCCTGCACTTGACATCAGAACTGCGTCCTGCTGAACGGTTCTCCCGGGGTTTCCACCAATGAAATCCCTCATGTGAATCCCATGGAGTCACCTGCCCCTCAGAGGACCTGGACTTAGCAGTGGATTCACCAGAGGAAATTAGATTTCTTGAGATGGAAACTTCTGAGAATACTGACACTCAGCAAACCCTTTAATTCATCAAAAGTGAAAAATAGAATTATTTGGTCATTTGGGTCCCACAATTCTTCTGTCAATTTAGCTTATTGGGTTTTTTGTTGTTATTTCTGCTGTTGTTGCTGTTGCTGTTGTTTGTTGTTGTTTTCTTTGAGACAGGCTCTCACTCTGTCGCCCAGGCTGGAGTGCAGTGGCACCACATGACTCACTGCAAACTTAAACTCCCAGGCTCAAGTGATCCTCCCACCTCAGCCTCCTGAGGAGCTGGGGCTACAGGCACAAGCTACTACACTTGGTCTACTTAAAAATTTTCTGTAGAGACAGGGTGTCATCATGTTGCCAGGGCTCATCTCCAAGTCCCAGCCTCAAGTGATCCTCCGCATTGGCCCAAAAAGTTATTGCTTTTTCGTTTTTACTTTTCACATGGTTATATGACATTATCTAGATATTAAAAATTCTGTATCAGTAATTTGGACAATGCTATACAATAAAATGTTTTCTTCAGACACAGTTTCCTAAAAACAGAAGTAGCTTTAAAATGTTGTGCATTTGTCAAATCTTGAAGAAGTTTCAAATCTTTAGGGTGATTCTGACCTCTCATTTTGGTTGACACAATAATCCATAAAAACAAGTAAGCACCCCTCTAAGCTGGAGAGGCAAGGAGGTGAAAGCATTGAAAAGCCAAAGTGACAGCCTGTTCTGTAGACATGATCCTGCCTAAACATCTAATGCTCCACAAAAGAAGGTTGTGGACTCCTGGCTTCTCCAGAGCCCCATGCAGCTGTGAAGCACTCCCTGGCTGTCTCTGCAAGTGGCTCAACAGCTCCTCCTGGTCTCTGTGGGGCTGTGGAGGCTCCAGGTGCCCTAGGCCCAAGGGGTGTCATGCTCACCAGTTCCCACCAAGGATGCACCCCACCATGGATGGTGGAGAAGACCAGGTGTAGCTGCTCCTGCCCCTGCCCCTGTCCTGACCGGCCAATCTTAATGGAGGAAGGAGAAGGCATGGGTGGAGCCATGGAGGTTGGTGCTGGAAAGAACAGAAATGAAGCCCTTTGTCCAATCCCCCAAATGATGGGGATCCCTTTCTGAGTTCTAGCAGCCCTGGGGTAGTCTGATGATTGGATTACTCCCATGTGTCTTAAACCCTCTCACATGGCAGCCACTGTGCTAGGTGCTAAGTTTACAGGTGAGTAACACATGTGGTCCTCAAGGCTCTCAGAATCCAGGGACAGAAACAAACACCTATGTGGCTGCTGCTGTTGATGTGATGTCCTCAAGGTGGTTGGACTATCAAAGGGCAGAAGAGGTGGTGACCCATTCTGTCTGGGAAGTTGCATGGAGGCTTCTCAGGAGGTGGCATTTCAGACTGTTCTTGTAGGAATAGGAAGAATATAGCATGGCCAGGTGGGAGGAGAAGACAGGACACCCAGCAGAGGGACAAGCATGAGGAGGAGGCCTGGGGGTGCAAATATCAGAATTTTTGGGAGCTGTGAGAAGTCTGCAGTAATGAACTCTCACGTACTGGGGTAGACTATTTCCACAGGGAGGAGGGAATGTCAGGAGGGAAGATAGTGAAGGAGGGGTGGGCAGCAACCCCCCTGGAGTACCTGTCTCCAACCACAGCAAATCAACCATGAAATCAATTCACCATTCATATGTTTACATACAGTATACACTACCACATACACAGACACATACGCAGACACTCACACACACACACACACACACACAGACATCCACACAATTTCACACAGACATTTACACTACACAGGCAAACACACACATGCATACACAGACACACGAACACACATATACACAAGTGCATGCACAAATACAGACACAGACACACACACACAAGCACGTGCACACACAGACCTACGTAAACACATGGGAGAAACTGCTTGTTATCTCGAGAGTTGTCGTGTCTCTCCCATTCTGCCCACTCACCTGTCACCTCAGGGGCTGTCTCCCAGCTCATGAAGGATTTCTGAAGCCATCAAGCAGGATGTCCTGTGTGATCTGAAACACTCAGACAGCTCCTCACTCTGACCTTCCTTCCTGGTCCCCTTGGTTCTGGGATGAAGCAGCATCCTGTGAGAAACCTCTCCCTTGGGGTAGAAGCACTGGGTCACCAGAGCGCACCCCTCTGCTCTTTGCCCTCAGGGAATCTTGATCTGCAGGGTGGGAGGAACTGCCCCAACCCCCAAAATAAACTCTTTATAGATCCCTTATCCACCATAATGTCACAAGTTGTGTGCCAAGGAGCTCAGGGCACAAACTCACTGTGAGCAAACCCTTTGGGCTGATTGAAATATTTCAAAGTTTCGCAGTGCCATCTGCTGGACACCACAGGAAGTACTCTAAAGTATTTG